TCATAGACAAAGGAGTAGGTGTAACCACTAATAGAAGTTTAACAGGCAATAATCACCTTAAGGACCTTTTGGACTAAAAATGGCTAAATGTGAATAATAGTTTATCAGTGTTTGTTTAGTTCCATTATATGAAAAGGGGATTTAAATTTAAAGTTAGTAGATCAATCTTTGCCCTCCCCTAGGAGAAGATTAAATTCTGTTTACACCTAATTTTACAAAAAAAAAAAAAAAATAGAATGGTATCACGAGTCATCTATGTCGGCAATTATTTCATTAGTTAAAAGTTTTTGGTATAAATCTCTCCAAATAAAGTTCAGTGGTTATTTTCACAATGAAAGCAAAGTCGTTTGCTTGTTACGAACTTCTAGAGGATAATCGACAACACAATAATACTTTTATAAATTTAAAAATTATTTTTTTAAAAAAATTTAGATATATGTATTAAATTTGTTTAAAACTGTAGATTTTATGCTGCCGTTGGTTTTCAAAATGCTGCCAGCAAAACTCCACCAGGCTGCTAAGGTGCTATAAATACCCGATAATTAGATCAAGCAAAAGAACCAGCGTTTCACACAACTCTACGTTGTCATTAGTTTTAATGCCAAGGTGTTATTTACATTTTAGTTTTACAAGCAATGTCTTAGTTTAGATCTAATTTTCTCAAACAGTTTTCCTAATTTAGTATTTAACTCTACGTTGTCATTAGTTTTAACTCTGATTTTTGTTATTTCATTGTGAACATCTCCACTCCATGTATTTAGTTTTCTGCAATTCAATTTACTACACTTTGCCCAAAATTCATCTTTCTAACTTCTTTTAAATTTTGTTTTATGCTTCATCTTTTATTTCGTTCTTTACGTTTTCATGCTTTTACGATGACATTACAATTCCACTCTGTAATTTAGTTTTCTCGCCATGCACTCTCATGCTTTTAGTCTTCTCTTTTCCTTTATTTTTTTCTTTTATTTTGATCAACAAACTAACATTTTGGCCTTAGTTGTGGAAAGTCCCTGATGTTCTTCCAGTACAATTATTTATGGACCTTTATGTAGGAATGCACCCTCATTTTTGCGACAAATGTCTGATCAGGGTGCATCTCATAGTTTATTTAATCGGTGCTCTTCCATCAACTCATAGCTGAGTTCCACGCTTAGAAGTAGTGAGGGTCATTGATAATCCCTCTTTTTTACTTTAAGTAAAATGAGTGTCACGCCTTCGCAGTCTTATTTACCACACGTTAAAAAAAAAAGATTTTGGAGACAACAACTTCTAAAGAAAAGTTTCAACTTTAGTTGATTAAACCAAACTTAGTCAATTAAGCATAACTAGACCTCAAGTTTCCTAGTAAACATACCAAACACAAGTAACTTCGCTTTTTCGTATTCATCTTGGCCTCTTAAGAC